GGGAGGGAGGGAGGGAGGGACAAGGAATATAAACTATAGAAAACTCCCTAAACATTCCTATGGTAGGCAGAATAATGGTCCACAAAATATGCCTATGCCCTAATCCAGTGGTCGGCAAACCTTGGCTCGCGAGCCACATGCGGCTCTTTGGCCCCTTGAATGTGGCTCTTCCACAAAATACCATGTGCAGGTGCGCATGTAACAGTGCGACTGAAACTTCATGGCCCATGTGCAGAAGTCGATTTTCGGCCTGGGCGAGTCTATTTTGAAGAAGTGGCGTTAGAAGAAGTGGGGGTACGTTCGCTGAGGTCAACCCCTCAGATTGAGGACGTTTTTAGCAAAGGCCAGCTTAGGAGGACCCTAATTAAGTTAATAACAATGTACCTACCTATATAGTTTAAGTTTAAAAAATTTGGCTCTCGAAAGAAATTTCAATTGTTGTACTGTTGATATTTGGCTCTGTTGACTAATGAGTTTGCTGACCACTGCCCTAATCCCCAGGCCCCATGAATATATTAGGTTACATGACAAAGGGATATTGGAGATGTCTTTAAAATTAAGGACCAGGAGGTGGCCAAATGGGCTCATAAGAGCATGAATTCATAAAAGTTGAGGCGGGAGGCAGAGAGCTTTAATGCAAGAAGTACTCTCCCCACCTCTCTGGCTCTGAAGATGGAGAAAGGGGGCCAGGGCCAAGAAATATGGTGGCTTCTGAAATCTAGGGATAGATCTCAATGTGCAGATAATATAAAATGTAGTTCTTCTGGGTCTTCATTAAAAATGTTTGAGAAACACTGATCCAAATAGAAATCTGACAGTGTCCCTCTCTTTAAACCATAATGTACAAGTTCATGGCCTACAATGGCCTCTGTGAGCTAATTCCTGTCTTACCACCAGCCACGCCTTCCACCCCTCTCTGCTGACATTCAGCTGTCTAGTGAGACTGAACTGCACAGCTCATGCCAACTCATGCTTTGCTACTTTTCCTCTGTTCTTAGACTGGCTGAGTCTTACTTATCCCAGACACCTTTTATTCATTCATTCATTCATTCAACAAATATGTATTAAGTTTCTATGTGCCAGAAGTTTGGGACAGAGTGGAGAAGAAGACAGAGAGAGTTTTGGCTCCCATTGGAACCAACATCCTGGAGTAGAAAGGTAGAAGACAAAGAGATAAATCACAAATTCAGATAATGACAGAAGAAAGAACTCAAGGCTGAAGGGAGAGAGAGCCTGGGGAGAAGAGAAGCTGGTTGATGAGGTGTTTCTAGCAGGTGAAGCTGGAGCTGAGACTGGGGTAGGCCAAGTGAAGGCTCGGGAAGAATTTTCCTGACAGAGAAAATGGTGACTGCAGAGCCAGAGGCAGAGGAACAAGTTTGCTGTGGATGAAGCACTGAAATAAGGTCACGGTGGCTAGGGAAAGTGAGTATGGGAGATTGGTATGAAGTGAACTGGAGAAGGCAGGAGCCAAATCTATCCTGGGCTTGTTTGCCATGGAGGGGAGCATGCATTTTACCCTCAACACTATGGGAAACCACTGGTGTTTAATTAGAAGTTCCATTTATACATTTAACTGGGTTTTAATTGGGGGTGATAGAAGATAACTTAAGTCTTCAGGTCTGACAAAAGCTCATACTAGTATCTTCATAGCATCTTGCACCCTCTTATCTTAGCACCTGCCTTAAGTAGAACTGACCTATTTAGGTATCTACCTGTCTCCTCCATTTGCTTGCAAGCTCCTCATGGGCAGAAGCCACAATCTGTGGCACATAGTAGGCATGTGCTGAACTGAATGAAACTTTTCTGTGTTTATCTAATCCTATCTAATAAAAGGGTAATATGCAAATAACCGTCACTCTGTCACAAAGATGGCAGCGCCCATAGCTCAAGATGGCAGCACCCAGTTCTCTCAGCCCCACCGGAGTCCCCCAGTCCCGGCGGGTGGGTGGAGGGGAGGGTGGTGGCTGCTGAGAGCAGGCAGCATGAGGGGCCTGGCGGAATGCTTGCTTCATCACCACAGCAACAAGGCAAGTGTTACGTGTCCAGCCGCAGAGGGGCCTCTGGCCAGGCCAGGGTGCGGATGGGCCTCTGGGCTGTGGAGAGCCTCTGGCCAGCAGGCATGGAGCGGCCAGGCCCCGCAGAGAGCTACTGGCACACGGATTTGTGCGCAGGGCTACTAGTTTACTTACTGTTTAGTTTTATGTAATTAAAACTACATTAAATCTTATTCTGCTACATCGTGGCTGATGTCATTAAGAAGTTTTTGTTTATTATAGTTACCTTACTTGCATCATTAAAATTTGAAATATTCTCCATAAAGGAAATTATGACTTGAACTTGAATGGA